GCCACGATATTGTACTTAGTTGCTGGTGTTGTCGTTGGTGGTGGTGGTGGTGGTGGTGGTGGTGGTGGTGGGGGTGGGGGTGGGGGTGGGGGTGGCGGTGGCGGTGGCGGTGTTGGTCCTGCTGCTGCTGCTGCTGCTGCTGCTGCTGAAGACGAAGACGATAACAATTATAATCACGACAACTCACGATGATGGAATGCCATGAACACAGTGGCTGATGACACCACTCGTGCAAAACAGCGAGAATGATGCTGATTCAACGACGTCGGTTAGAAGCACGCAAGAAGCAATGACAAAGGTCATCGGCTTTGATTCTCAAGAAGGTGATGATTATGGGGATGACGACGACGATGATTATGATAAAGAGGATTTATTTATGGTCCCCTTATGATAATGATGATGATAATGTGGTGGTGGTGCTGGTGGTGATGATTATGATGATGGCGGTTCCGCAAAGGAGACTTAGCGCCATGACGTCACTGTTGCAGTCGACGATAACAATGCCAATGTCGCTGTCGTCGCTGCTTGTAGCTGTTCGGAGTTAGCCGCGCATCGTTAGTTTTGTCGGCAGTTGCTGTCAATGGCCGTGTTGCCGCTTCAAACTTGTACCCCCGAAAGCTTGCAACCCTATGAACTAAAACGCTGCGTGTGACGAACCCCAAGTCCAACACCCTGAACCATAATACAGGGGCCTTAATAATTAGAATAGGGTTTTGGGGCATACTATACTATAATTAGGACAAGGAACCCCCCAAAAAAGTATTGGTAATTACCCTAAACCCCGAAACCCCTAAACCCTAAACCCCTATTGGCAATGATTTAGGGCCCTATACTAGCCACCCATGGCGCCTCGAAATCCATTGCTGAGCTGCTGGGACTCCTCGATCTGGCTTTGTCCACTGACGCGGTCGACCTGAAATATGGGCTTAGGGTTTAGGGTCGAATGTAGAGGCCTTAAGAATAAGAATAGGGATTTTTGGATCCTTTATAGTATAGTTATAATTAGGAGACCCCAAACTATTATAGGAAATTATTGTGGCCCCTACATTAGGGTTTGGTCACCTGCATTTCTGCTCAGCAAGGGAACCCTAGGCCCTACACTCCCAAAGCCCTTATTAGGGTTTAGGGTTTAGGGTTTAGGGTTTAGGGTTTAGGGAACTTATAAGCCCGAAACCCACCCTGAACCCTAAACCCTAAACCCACCCTAAACCCCAAACCCTAGACCCTACACTCCTGGGCTCTGACGATACCTGTCTCCATTGTAGTTCCTTTTTTTGGCTTAACCAATTCTAGAGAAGGGAATTTATCGGGTATCCCCAAGAAGGAACTACAACGGAGACTATAGGCAAGGCTCCAAGGAGGCTCCAAAGCTTCGGGCTTTCGTGGGCGTAGCCTTCAAGGGTTCAGTAGGATGGTTCAGGGGTTAGGGTTTAGGGTGTAGGGTTTAGGGTTTAGGGTGTAGGGTTTAGGGTGTAGGGTGTAGGGTGTAGGGTTTAGGATTTAGGAACGAATCGGCGCCTCGAGCAAATTGAAGAACAAGATGCCGGAGACCAGAAGAAGATGCTGCATCATGTAGGGGGACAGTGCCAGATGTCGGGCCACGCCATGCAAGGGAAGGACCACCTTCCACTGGTGGAGAGGGCGCCACACATGAATGCACCTGTCCTTGGTGACAGTTTCGAGCTGTTTGCCACCGCCCTTTCGGTTTGTCAAGGTGATCGAATCCGAAAGGTCATACATTACACGACATACCCGAGAGCGAGGATTGTCCCTTAGCGCTGCACTTACGGAGGGTTATCAAAGGATGTGTGACGATGTCACGCTTGAGAGCCATAGCTAGCCGCGAAACAACAAGAGAAAACAAACATGCTGGTAATGCATCACCGTGCGATGAACAGCTAGGGTTGAGGGTTTGGGGTTTAGTTGTTAATGGTGATGACGAAATAGATGACTAGGGTGATGATGGTGGTGATGAGGATGAAGACGATGGTGATATGGTGATGGTGATGGTGACAACAGTCTGCTACTATCGACAGCGAAGAGGTGTGTAGGTTGTTGAGAATGGTGATGCTCGGACGACCGTGACAAGTGTGCAGATGCCGTGGTGTTGCTGGTACCGACGATCATGCTGACGATGAGGGTCAAGACATCGATTATGATCGCCTCAGCAACAGCAGTGGCAAGCGGAGACTGTTTTTGCTACTAGTCGCGGCTAGTACGGCTAGTACTACAGAACGAGTACGGTGTCAATGACGACGACGACGCAACGGACGACGACGGCCCGGATGACAAAGACGATCAGGCCAAACACAAACACGAAGACGACGACGACGACGACGACGACGACGACGACTACTGCCGCGATGATTGGCGCCCTACTTGGCGTGGGCTCGTAGTTGCAATGACCCTTGCAAGAGCAGCAGCACTAACTGCAGGAGCCGCCACAAACAACCGAAAGGAATGCAACCGCGAGCCTTTCCACTGTGCGGTAAAGGATTTATTAAACTTGGCAAGATAACATCACCAACAACAACCCCAAACCTGAATCTAAACCTTAACCTTACACTCTAAACCTAATTAATCCCTGAACCCTATAAACCCTAAACAGGTGCGGCGAGCATCAAGTTCAAGATCCTGCGTGAGGCCTGGTGTTCCGGACAGCTGCTCCCGAATGCAGCAGCAGTCATCACACATAGGTAGAACCTGGGTGGTCCATGTACCCGTGGAGGTGCGCAGAGAAGATCCCCGTCACGAAACCCAACAGTCCTGTCTCCCAGAACACAGGGCTTAGGGGTTTAGGGCCTTTAGTGTTTCGGGGGTTTTTCTGTTTAAGGTTTAGGGTTTAGGGCCTTTAGTGTTTCGGGGGTTTTTCTGTTTAGGGTTTAGGGTCTAGGGCCTTTAGTGTTTCGGGGGTTTTTGGTGTTTAGGGTTTAGGGCCTTCAGGCTTTAGGGGTTGCGGTTTAGGGTTCGAAACCCAGCTGGTCATTGCTGTTGTTTTCGATGCTTGTATCTGTAGAACACATGTGCGGAGTATCTGCAGGAGCTTCAGCCCTTCAGGGCCGTAGAGTCCGTAGAGCTTTGGGTTTAGAGTTTAAGGCTTGAGGGTTTTAGGGTTTAGTGTTAGGGCTGAAGGGTACATCACAGTACTGTACCACATGTCTTTGCTCTGGAGAAAGCTCGGGGTGCAGTTGAGTAATGTATAGGCCACTACACCAGCTTTTGCGAGACGAGACTGAGACATCGGTGGCTCTCTACATTAGGGTACCCGTTTACAGCTCCAAGATTAGCACAAAGAGCACCATGCCATAAAAAAGGCACGCGCATACCTGTCCTGCAAGAGTCGTCCACACAACGACGACCAGCTTCTTCTTGCCAGTTGGAGCACGTGCGACAAAGATCGTCTTGCCTATGGGGGCCCTTTAGACTGCCGCAACATGCATTGCGCACCCAAACAGACCCCACACCAGAACCTTGATCTGCAACAAGGCAACCCTAGATGACAAAACTTCGCACCTTCCTAAGATAGTGCTAGTCTATGTCATCATCCTACTGGATGGCCCTGTAAGTTATCCCGCAAAGAGGACGCCACTCTCAGAGAACTACCCTGGCGCAGTGTTTGGAATATGCAGTCGTGCCTTCCTCGTGAGCACGAAAGGCTTCGTACCCGCACCAAAGCCTCATTCATTTGTCCTAAACCCTAAGCCCTAATCGCTCAACCCTAAACGTTGATAAACAAAATCAGCCCTATACCCCAAACCCCGAACCCTAAACCCTTCAAACCTCAATCCTGAAACCTCAACCCTAGACCCCCAACATCCTGAACCCACATCGCGAAACCGTCGTGATCTATAGGTTATGGGAGTCCAGCTTCGGGAAGTTGGTTGGGGGAGACGGTGAAACGAGTCTTGGCCAACGGCTGCGCAAGCTCATGGTGCAGGTGTCAAGGGTTCCAACTCCTGAACCTATGTAGGGGTCTCAATAAATAGAACAGGGTTCTGATATAAGGAGCCCTAAGGAATAATATTGCTGATTATTTAGGCTTCTATATTCGCCCCTTGATCGCGCCTGGTGTAGATGCTGCAGCGGTGATTTGGCACAACAAGAACATATGCAGAGGATTTGAGCGCCAGGGCAAAAG